GACGCAAAAAAATTTAAAAAATTTTGAACAAATGCAATTTTTTTAGCTAGAATGACTTTTTTTCTTAAATGTTTCCCTCTTTTCAGCTGCAAGCCGGAAATGATTACCTACTTAAAAATGTCCCGATATTTTCCTAGTTGCGAAAATGTATTTTGACATTATCTTCCAAGTTAAATTTCTCCTTATTCATAACACCATTCTATAAGTCATAATTGTGTTTAGATTAACTTATTCCTATACATACATGTATAAAAGAAAACTGCCATTATTGGATTGGGTTGATCAAAACGAGCAAACAAACACGTAGCAATATTCTCCGGAACGATAAAATTTAATCCCGACGAAACTTCTTTATCAGTTACACAAGCTACGTGGATCCCCCAACATGCCGATATTCATACAAAGGCAAACATTTACTTTGTTCGACACCAAAAAAGGCGACGTTAATTGTCGGGTACGTGCTCGAAACCGTAGAAGGGGCCTAATTATTTCTACAAACTTTGCGATGTCAAAGGGTGATTGGGGTTCTGCAAACGCCCCTTTGCTACATACGAAACCTTTCTCCAGAATGTGCCTTACACACCGAAACAGTATAATCTGTTCCGAGGTTCCTTTTTAGAGGTAACTCGATTGAATATTACAATTTTAAAACAAATTAATTTTTCTTACAATTAATAACGTATTTACAACAAGACTATTTATTTGATTTAAATAATTTTAGAACAGTATCCCGAGGAACAAGTACTATTATCATTAAAAAACTGACGCCGTTCTTCATATTAGGCCGCCTATTTGAAATCTATTTCAGACAGCGAAGTGCATGGTGCTGTGAAGAAGGTGGCAGGAAAGAGAAAAAAACTTTAATTGCATAATAGGATTTTAGGATTAGGTGTCAGTCTAGTGTCGGCAGTATAACTGATAGGCGAGTCTCTTTGGAGGGATTTAAATCTAATTAGCGGTGGCAGGTTAAAGGGGATTGGAATAAGGTTAAATGTCGCCTAGGTCTTGGGATACGGTCTCAGACAGCAGAAGCGGCGACGCCGGCAAGCTGTAGAGGGGTGGGAAATTTCCCACATTTATTTAAATTGGAAGATACAACCTGTCCAGTCGCAAGACGCTAACACTACGCCATATTTTTAAAATGTTTTTTATTGATTAAAAAAAGTAAAAATATTTTTTCCACGGTCGGGAGTAGAAATCAGTTTCTATGACATCAAAATTAAAACAGAAGTAGTCGATTATTCCCAAGGGAGTATAATGCTCCCAAGGGAGTTTACATTATGGATAACGTTTTTCATGCAAAAAAAAAGATAACATTGAAATTATTTATTGACATTTAAATTAAATGTTACATTTGTACAATTTTCAAAATTAATATTAGAAGGAATATTACTTTCGCTTACATTTACAGTTTTTGTGATTGCGCTAGTAGTGGTACCTACTAAAACCTGATTAGCAATTTTGGTCTTATTTTCAATGGATTTCTCGACATAACCCTCAGCGACTGTCGTTGATTTCCAACCAGCATGACGCTTTATTGTCGTGATATCCACACCAGCATCTGCCAGTAATGTCGCTGAAGATCTTCGTAAGCAGTGACCAGTATAACATGCAGCATCAGGTAATTTTAAATACGAAGCTACTACACTTGGAACTTTTCCCATGGTATTCTTGCCAACTGGCTGCGAACTACATTTTCCTGCTTTGTAGTACAAAAAAAGGCGCTTATGCTTGACGTGGGGAGGACGAAGGGACAGGTATTTTCGAAACAATTCAAGCATATTTCCCACATCGGTAACCACAAAGGTTCGTGGAATCTTTGTCTTAGAGTTTGGAATTTTTACAATCAAGGAATAGCCTACATCCTCAATATCATCTACAGTTAAATTGACTAGTTCATCAGTTCGACAAGCTCCGGCAATCCCCAGAATTAATCCAACCTATAAAAAATCAAAATACTTAATAATTTAAATACCTAACAACAAAAATAATCTTACCTTAATCATTAATAATTCTTTGTCATCTGCACTTGATAGAAAACGGTCGATTTCACCCTTTGTCAATATTTTCGATTTTTTCGCTTGATATCCGTCACCGGTTCTTTTCAAAAATGCGATCAGCTTGGGGAATTTGCTTATATCTATGTTGTCGTAAATTATCAAGCATGACTTAACCATAGATAATTGCGCCCATAATGTGGAAGACTTTGCATTTTCACTGAAGTATGCCAACAAAACATTCTCGCTGTGTACTTGAACATTTTTCTCGGCGCACCACTTTTTGAACCGATTGTAGGCTATATCGTTTAAAGATCTTGACTTCGTAGGCAGCAAATTGCTTATTGCAATATTTGCAGCCTCCACAATCTCTTCCGACTCACAATTATTCATTGTGCACTAAACAAACTTTAAACTAAACCAAACTGGCACCTTAATTTGACAATTCTTTTTGTTTGTTTATTTTGTGGTTATGACAATAACTCAACGACTACTAAATAAATGCTCAAATCCGAATACAATAATTCTGGTGCTACTTACTTCATAATGACAAAATATGTGTTTTTAAGTTAATGAGACCGTGGAAAAAATAGTATATACCATTCGGGAGAGATGCTATTTTGTCCTCGGTGCATTAATGTAGCCCTCGGGCTTCAAATTGCACCTCTGCCAAAATAACGCATTTCTCTCCCTTATAGTATAATGTACTATTAAATGATGCTATATTATAAAAATATCATCGCAAAACAATATTGCAAAATCGTTGTAAAAACAGTTTAATTTATATTTGCAATTGTATGAACCCTGTTTGAATCAAGACGGTTTAGGTGCGGTAACTATTATAACAATAGCAACGTAATAAACAAAAAAAAATAGTTGTTTGAAAAAGAATTGTCAAAATTATATATTGTAATTTACATTCTATGTTTAATTCAAAATGAGCTCGGAAAGCGATGACGAGCATTTACCACGAGAAATGACATTTGTTTTATGTTGTAGAACAAAAAAAGACTTTTGATGACAGTTTTCGAAAAAGATATATGTATTAAGATAAGAAAAGTGTTGGTAACCATTAGAGAAAAGATAGATAATAATAAAATTTTAATTTTTGGGAACACAGCAAAGCTTTCACTCTGTAGTTTTGTAAGTTTCAATGAAACCCCCCACGACTGCATTTCCCTTCAAATTTTATGTATATGTCGACGACTGTGCTCTAGCCGAGATCGATAAGCTCGCCGTTCTATCTAGACATTCCCGTAGTTTGGGATACGTGAACGCTCCTTTTATTCCTCGCAGGAACGTTCCTGCTACTTTTCCTGCTACTTACTCGGCTAAAATACACATCTTTTATTTTCTCTGGGTCGTAGCGAGCCGTGTTTCGAATTTGTCCAAACACAGCAGTATTTGAGGACGAACGCAGTGGGCGTAGCTTTTGAATGGACGCAAGATGTCCACTTGGGCCATATTTCAACTTTTAGTTCGTACACACACATCAAAAGAATTAAAGGAGCAGAAAAATATCCAAAGTTTGGAAAAAAAATCAAATCTTTAAAAATTTTTTGCGTTCTCTTTTTTACAATTTTACATTTAATATTTTAAATGTCGAGAAAAAAATATTTTTTGAAATTTATTATTTTTTTTTCGATATTTCATGAGTATTTAGCGCGAAATTGTGAGAAAAATAATGCAAAAATATTTGTTTCAACTTAATCATTCATTGATGTTTAAGGAGCAATTAAACTGCTTCTTTAATTTTTTATAAAACTTTAAAGATTCGGGAAAGGGAAACGGTTCGACCGATCGATTTCAAAATTTACAGACTGGGCATATATTGAGCTAAAAAAAAAACTTACAAAAATTGGTCCTGTTCGCAATATTAATAAAGTAGTCGTTGATTTTCTAAAACAGCAGAAAAAATCAATTTTTTGCACTTTTTCCAATTAATACTGAGTATAAAAGAAAATTCTCAAACATACCAAAAGGGCCTTGAAGAGAATTGATTCGGGTTTCTAACACTCACCTTCCATTCGCTGTACGATCATTAGTTCATGAGATATCGATGATCAAAAAAAAAAGTGGCCAGCCGATATTTCAATGAGAAATATCGCAGAGAAAATTAAAAAAAAACAAATTGAAGCTGATGAATGCTAAATGACTCTGGAATTGATTAAGCCAGAAAAATTTTCTGAGCCCTTGTGCAGTTTTGAAAAGAAAAAATTGTAAAATCTCTGTCTTGCAATATTTCTTTTGAATGCACCGAAAGTGATGCTAAAAAAAATTTTTCATCTCACGACTTCAAAACTAGAATCTTCAAGCTTAAAGATGCTTTTTATTTTCCTCGATATGTCCATTATTCACGATGTTACAAACTTTCGAAAATCTCTAAAAAATTTGGAATTTTTCGCTCCTTTAAATTTTTAGTTTACGGAGTCGTATGAGTGGTTAGAATTATTTAAAAATTTTAATTTAAATATAATATTGGCAAATTACCTAAATGGATACTACTTATAGTCTAATAAATAAGTACATTCAACTTTTAGAAAATATGTGTCCAGAAATTATTAGTATGTATATTTCTAACACGAATTAAAAACACTATGTTATACAGTAGTTTTTTGTGCATAACTAATATGCAATATCAATATGTACTGTACTACGGAACGCTACACGTTTTATATCTACCTATTTAGTTTTTCTGAATTTAGTTATTTATTAAATCAGATTTATTACTTAAATCCATACTGTAATTGCTTTACCACATAGTACATCTGTTAGTAACGAAATGAACTAAATCAGGACTGACGATAATTTGTAACAACTATAGGCAACCAGTAAAACAACACACTATATTGATAATTACATAATTCACCTCGTACTTTACTGATTACTGATTATTTACGAGTCAAAATTGCTATTCCCAGAAATATATATTTATGTATTTTCATCTGCCTTGCTGTAAACACTTACCGCAATATATTTTAAATAGAATAACTTAATCCCTACCTGTTGCCGATCCCGAATTCATGCTAGAGCTAGACCCAGTGCTGACATTAGCGACCCCAGCGGCCAACTTCCCAACTTGTTGAAGAACAGGTGATACGATGGCGGAGGCGGAGGACCTCGTTCTCTTTTCAAGCAACAGATTGGCCAGAGCGCTCTTGCCAGGCTTATTGGAGCTGTTTTTACTCATTTTAATACACACAACTAATCCACTAAAAATTTTAAATTCAGAAAAAAAACTAAAATTTCCGGGTAAATTCGACGCATGCGTATATTTTCCGTAACCTAAAAAAATCGATCGCGCCACCGTAACCAGGAGAGAACTGAACGGAATTATTGCATTTTAACACTCACCGCAAGTATACGGCTCGTCTAGGGGTTTGACGGGGCAAACATGCCGATTATTACCTTTGTTATTGCTTGGATTTGATAAAAATCAGACCACTGTTTTCAACTCATCGCGAAATACCGCGCATCTCTCTCTAACAGGCTGTCACGCGTAATTTCGTCGCTTTTCGAATGAAAACAATCAATCCCGGGAGAAACGTGACACAAGTGCACCGAATGCCGACCAGATAATTAAATTAAAATGCCCGTCGAGGTCCGCGATTAAAAAAACCGGTGCTAACACCTCGTTACGCGGTCACTATGTTTTGTTTTGATGCCCGCGAAATTATAACATTCCTAACCTCAAACTTCAACTGTCATACAGACGACGGACGAGTGGACGACAAAAGCCAACGTGGTGGGGAAAAATGTCTCCCATCAATTTAACAATAATTTTATGCGGTTAGTTTCGTTGTTCGTATTCCGCAGTAATGAAGGCGTAACGCGTTTTTTTCTGTTACATCCTAAGTGCAGTTAGGGTGACTTGCGACATTATCAGTGAGGATTTACGTGTGCGTTTAATAAAAAAAAATGGCTAGAAGTAATTCTCTTCGCCTGTACGTGAGACAAACTTTGAGGGTGCTGTACGGGATCGTGGAAGTGTTTTTTCACTGGCTCTTCGGGCTGGTATACGGGGGCAGTGGCAAGAGCATGCCCCCCATAACGGATCTCTTGCTGCTGGAATCCGCTTCGTCCATCGCGTATAAGATCAGGACTAGGAAGGTAGGTGCTGACACATTATTTATTGCTACGTTTACTTGCCTTTCCCGACTTGAAATTATTGTAATTTTTCGGCCATGAAAATAAAAAGCGAGCGAGCGAAATGGCCTTTGTTTCACTCTTCGAGTCTTTAAAAAATATGGTTCCTAAGAAACTGTAAATGCATAAAACATTTACCTAGTCACACTTTACAAAATAAAAATAGTCGTTAATGATGTATCATGTATTTATATCATTCACTCATTGTTTAGATGAGGACTTCGTTCCATAATACTGAGAGCAGTGAGAGCATTTTAAGATATATTTTATGGAGTTCTATCGAAACGATTGTATAGGGCATTTTTATTTAAATTTTAAATTTATTTAGGTACTAACTTGTTGCCAAGAGACCTAACCGAGGGCCTAACCCTCTCTGTTGTGTAATTGATGGAAATAAATGTCAGTGAAATCGAGAATTTACGTTACAGAAAGTAAAGTTAAAAATATGAAAAAATTACATCATAAATTTTTGCCTATAGGTATGAATTTTTACCTGTACCAATAATTGCCACTATTTTTAACCAGTAATTGTCATCTTAAAAGAGAAGGTAGGAAATACTGGATATTTTAGAGATGTAACCATATTTTTACTTTATACCTCAAATAATAACAAAATAGGTAAGGCCAAAACTAAAGGTATATTGAATTATTGTCAAATTTACTATATAATTATATATTTGTTTATCATTCCTAGTTTTGAAAAGTTTTTAAGTTTTTATAAAGTAAAAGTACGTATTGTCAAAAACTGAAAAAAAACAAACGAATGTGAAAATATTCGCATAGAGCTCTTGTTTGCTGATTTTATTAAATATCAAAGGTATTAGACCGGGAGATATTAGACTGAAGTTCGACGACGTCTTTCTCGTTTATGCCTCTGAGAGTACTGACAGGTAACCGAGAGACAAGTACAATAAACTAAATTTAAAAGATGGGCTGCGGGACACCTTCGTGAAAATTCAATATTCCTTTTCAAAAAAATAATGTGTACAGCGACGTATTTCTCACTTATGCCATGTTCGTAAGTTGAAGAGAAGTATCGATTTTATCACAAAATTTTTTTGGCATAAGTGTCGCAAGGGACCTAAAAATGGAAAACTTTGTAAGAAAATGTGGAAAAACATCTTTATTTGTCTACCAATTTCTCATTAATGCCAATTAGAAATATGACATTATTATATTCGAAAAGCTCATAAAAAACATTGGCATAAGTCCTACTAAGGACTAAAGAAAATAGAGCTTTGGAAAAGCTGCGGAAAATTTTTATTTTCATTCTATAACTTTCTCATTTATGCCGTTGAAAATTTATGATACTTACTATAAATAATGTACTGTGTCAAGTAGGCATCACTCCTCTATGGGTTCAATATGAAGGCATAAGTCTCAAAGTTGTAGGAAAATTCATGAAAATTTTTACGTCTTTCTCGCTTATGCCATTTTGCATGCACGTAGGAAACTACATTATAAAGTCATATAAATGTAGGCATAAGTCCACATTGGATTTTCATGTTGTAAATTAATTTGAATTTTAATATGAGTCAGGTCGACAAAGTAGAAAAATTATAGAAAATTGCCACAATTTTCTCGTTTATGCCGTTTTGTACACGAGTAGAAAATATTATTAAAAGCCACTTTCAAGAGTGGCATGAATGCCACAAGGTACCGTCGTATGTAAAATTTTTTAAAAAGTTGTCAAAAATTACAAATTGCGGTTATTTCCTCGCCTGCGCAATTTTCGATATACTTAAATTAATTTAAAAAATGTATGATAAATAATGCAAGTGTCGGAGAAGATATCTATATAAAAAATGAATATTTCTAACTATAAAAGGGAATAAAAAATTTAAAATAAAAAAAATTTCATGAAAAAGAGAAAGCTTTATATTGGGTTTAGTTTGATTTTTCGACATGTTATTTTTTATTACGATAATTCTTAATAACTTATAATAAAGCTGGTAGTAAGGCCTTTATTTTGATCCGTTTTCATCAAGAGCTGCAGATAAAACTGTTTGAAATTTGAAAATGTAAAAAATCATAAAACCGAAAAAACTTTTTATTTTTGATATGCTTTAATTTTAAGTTAATAAAAATTTGTATTATTTTAAGTGTTATTGTTTGTGTTAGTTATAATTAAAAATTAGTAATTCAAAGTCTTTGAGGAAGCATTCTGACAATTGAGTTGGCAGCGGTTTTTCAATTCAATTACTATTACTTAAATAAATCTTTTAATATAAAAATAAAATGTATAAAAGTACAAATTAAGTAATTAAGGTACAAAGTACCAGAAACAAAAAACAAAATTCAATATACATGATATTAAATCAGTTATAAATCAGTTTCTTCCCTATGTATTCTAGCTTAATTATTTCTTCTTCTTCTTCTTCTTCTTCTACCTTAGTCGGCTCAATTCAAGTAGATCATCCTTGCACTGAAGCGGTTAATTCAAATTATATAATATTTTTAATTTTTAAAATTTAAATATATTGTTCATAAATACGTATGGTCTATTGTGATAAAATACTCTACTCATTTACGAACAAACGAGAAATTTGTGGCAATATTATATAATTTTTCTTTTTCTGATCATGACTCAAAGAATAATTAAAAATCATTTCTAATATGTGGGGACTTAAGCCGAAATAGTTTATTATTAACTTTCATTAAATACATGAATTACTTATATTTATAAAAATTAAAAATACGCTAAATGCAAGTAAGTATAAGTATTTCGAAAATTGCGTAGGCGATGAAATAAACTTTTTAAAAATTTTTACATACGACGGTACCTTGTGGCATTCATGCCACTCTTGAAAATGGCTTTTAGTAATATTTTCTACTCGTGTACGAAACGGCATAAACGAGAAAATTGTGGCAATTTTCTATTATTTTTCTACTTTGTCGACCTGACTCGTATTAAAATTCAAATTAATTTACAACATGAAAATCCAATGTGGACTTATGCCTACATTTATATGACTTTATAATGTAGTTTCCTACGTGCATGCAAAATGGCATAAGCGAGAAAGACGTAAAAATTTTCATGAATTTTCCTACAACTTTGAGACTTATGCCTTCATATTGAACCCATAGAGGAGTGATGCCTACTTGACACAGTACATTATTTATAGTAAGTATCATAAATTTTCAACGGCATAAATGAGAAAGTTATAGAATGAAAATAAAAATTTTCCGCAGCTTTTCCAAAGCTCTATTTTCTTTAGTCCTTAGTAGGACTTATGCCAATGTTTTTTATGACCTTTTCGAATATAATAATGTAATATTTCTAATTGGCATTAATGAGAAATTGGTAGACAAATAAAGATGTTTTTCCACATTTTCTTACAAAGTTTTCCATTTTTAGGTCCCTTGCGACACTTATGCCAAAAAAATTTTGTGATAAAATCGATACTTCTCTTCAACTTACGAACATGGCATAAGTGAGAAATACGTCGCTGTACACATTATTTTTTTGAAAAGGAAAATTGAATTTTCACAAAGGTGTCCCGCAGTCCATCTTTTAAATTTAGTTTATTGTACTTATCTCTCGGTTACCTGTCGGTACTCTCAGAGGCATAAACGAGAAAGACGTCGTCGAACTTCAGTCTAATATCTCCCGGTCTATATTGGCTGCGTTTATCTCACAAACTGATCGATTTTTTTTTAATTTGTAGAATTTTAGGTTGAAGCGTTCTGAAGATTCTTCGGCGCATGTTAAAAATTGTACCCATTTTCACGATATTCCGCATACATTAAAATTTAAAAAGATAAATGTCGAAAACAACTGGGTACCTATTTGTCTGTGAAATTTTTATATGATACATATAGTTATAAGAGGTATGTGTTATTTTTTTACATTTTTTAAAAACGAAGGATTTGACACCTTTAACAAAATGTGTAACCATATTAATTCAGTTATTATTGAAGATAAGGCAAAAACCTTTCGCAACCTAAACTTCGAAGCAAACAAAAAACCGTTGTAAAAAATGTTTCAAACAAACTCAATCGGCAATTAATTAACCAAGCGTTAAGTCGGTTATGGGAGACAATCAGCCGGATGTTATCAGTTTTGTTGGTAGGATATTTTGTTGGCTTGTAGAAAAATATTTTGACGGTATCAACCACAAGACGAGCGTACTCATAATAAAAATAGTATACAGGGAAAGTTTCAGAATGAAATGAAAAATAATTACTTTTTGCCCTATAAAATCTATTCATGAGGCGTACGGTTTTTGAGTTATACGGGGTTGAAGTTTTTGCAGTAGAATCACCAAATTGCTTTATGATTTTGACTGTAGTTTTGCTTTAAGAAAAGCTATAAAATCATATGAAGAGATATGATTTTATTTTGATTGCATATCTCAAAAATTAAAATAATTAATTGTTGTGACATCCAATGTATTTATGTCTTTTAAAATTATGCAAGTATGTATCTACATAATCCTTTTCAAATTTAACCACTCCCTTATCTATTAGATAACAGTCGACGCAGACACCAATTTTTTTGAACATAAATTCATATGGTTAATTTATGTTTATTTGCAAAAATAGATTAGATAAGTTTTTGTAAATTTTGGATGATAAGCTTTTCTCTCGGTTTTTATAAAATATGGGCATTTTCAGAAGCTCCGATAAAAATTAATGAAAACCGCACTGACAATTTAATATGCTCAACGAATGTGAAAATATTAATATTGTCCGTATCTAAACCTGACATGTCGAGGCTCTCGTTTACGTATTTCATAACTAGTTCTGAACACAAGGCTATAAGCATAAAATAAATTAATCGGCATTTCTGCAGCACCGATCCTTGGTTTTTATTGTCAGTATGTTATTAAATCGTCGGTGTTTTTTTGTTTTCATTAACTTCGCATGATATCGCAATTTAAATGAGCAAACATTTCAGTAATCAAGAGTGCAGTTAAAATATGCCACATTTTTTTTATTTACATTTTAACGATCCAATAAAA